GTCTCCTGATTGACCGAAATAGTTGAAACGCCGTTCGGCTACATACTTTAGGTTCATCGTACTTGACATACGCATCTGAACCAGAACGACTTTCCGCATATTAAAATAACGAAAACCAGTGGTGAAATTTTTTCGCTGCAACTACACGAAAAATCAAACACGCTAGCTAAGTCAGATGCAACTGTTGCTGAAAGCTGAATAAACTACTTCTGCGAGGTACACCAAGGACTTACTTACGCCTGTTACTCCCAATGGAGCATAGGCCGCCGACCAGCTTTCTCCAACCCACTCTGTCCTGGGCTTCCTTTTCTAGTTCTATCCAGTTCTTGTTCATTCTTCTCATGTCTGTCTCTATTTCTCGGCGTAATGTGTTCTTTGGTCTTCCTCTTCTCCGTTGACCTTCAGGATTCCATGTGAGGGCTTGTCTTGTGACGCAATTAGGTGATGTCCTCAAGGTGTGCCCTATCCACTTCCAGCGCTTCTTCCTGATTTCTTCCTCTGCTGGAATCTGGTTTGTTCTCTCCCACAGTAACTTATTGCTGATAGTGTCTGGCCATCGGATCCGAAGTATTTTCCGTAGACAGCTGTTGATGAACACTTGTATCTTCTGGATAATGGCTTTCGTAGTTCTCCACGTCTCCGCGCCATACAGTAGAACTGTCTTGACATTTGTATTGAAAATTCTAACCTTGGTGTTGGTTGACAACTGTTTTGAGCTCCAGATGTTTTTCAGTTGTAGGTATGCTGCTCTTGCTTTCCCGATCCTCGCCCTCACATCTGCATCTGATCCACCATGTTCATCAGTGATGCTGCCCAGATATGTAAAGGTTTTCACATCCTCCAAAGCTTCTCCGTCAAGTGTAATTTGATTGGTGCATATTGTATTGTATCGGAGAGTCTTGCTTTTCCCTTTGTTTATATTGATACCTACTGCTGCTGAGGCTGCTGCTACACTGGTCGTTTTCTCCTGCATTTGTTGTTGCGTTTGTGATAGAAGAGCCAGATCATCCGCGAAGTCTAGATCGTCAAGTTGCATCCTGCCTGTCCACTGTATCCCGTGATTTCCTCCAGATGTTGACGTCTTCATGATCCAGTCGATGACCAGGAGAAAGAGAAAGGGTGAGAGTAAGCAACCTTGCCTAACATCGGTCTTTACTTGAAACGAGTCGGTGAGTTGTCCTCCGTGGACAATTTGGCAGTTTAGTCCATCATAGGAGTTCCGTATGATATTTACTATCTTCTCAGGCACGCCGTAGTGTCGAAGAAGCTTCCATAGTGTTGTCCTGTCTACGCTATCAAATGCCTTCTCGTAGTCGATGAAGTTGATGTAGAGTGATGAATTCCATTCGATTGATTGTTCCACAATGATCCGCAGAGTTGCGATTTGATCTGTGCACTATCTATCCTTACGAAATCCAGCTTGTTGATCTCGAAGTTGGGCGTCCACGGAATCCTTCATCCTGTTTAACCATACTCTGTTGAAGACTTTCCCTGGTATTGAGAGGAGAGTGATGCCCCTGTAGTTGTCGCACTTGCTCAGATCGCCTTTCTTTGGTATCTTGATCAGAAGTCCTTTTTTCCAGTTTGTTGGTACTTGTTCTTCGTCCCAAATCTTACTGAAGAGGATGTGGAGTATCTTGGCAGTTGCTGCTACATTTGCTTTCAGTGCCTCTGCCGGGATATTGTCTGGTCCCGCTGCTTTGCCACTCTTGACTTGTCTAATGGCCATTCTGATCTCTCCAATTGTTGGTGGGCCAACATCGATTGGGAGGTCTGTGGGTGCTGCTTCGATGTTGGGTGGGTTCAGTGGAGCTGGTCGATTTAAGAGTTCTTTGAAGTGTTCTACCCACCTGTTTCGTTGTTCTTCAATGTCGGTGATTACTTTGCCTTCCTTGCTTTTCACTAGTCTTTCTGGTTTACGGTAATTTCCAGCAAGTTTCTTTGTTGTATCATACAGTTGTCTCATGTTTCCCTCTCTTGCAGCCTTTTCCGCTGTCGTTGCTAAATCTTCAACATATTTACGTTTGTCGGTTCTGATGCTCCTCTTCACTTGCTTGTTTGCCTCTATGTATTCGGCTTGTGCCTTGGCTTTTTCTGCTCTGGTTCGGCTGATATTGATTGCTGCCTTCTTGTTTCTCCTTGCTTCAATCTTATCCAGTGTACCAACAGTGATCCATTCCTTGTGATGGTGCTTCTTTTGGCCCAAAACCTCTTGACACGTTGAAACGATTGCCTCCTTGATACCTTTCCAGTAGCTCTCCATGGTAGTCCCCTCTCCATTGAGTAGGTCATGAAAGGCCTCGAACCTGTTGCTGAGGGTTATGTTGAATTTGTTGAGTTTGTCAGCATCTCGAAAAAAGGCCGTATTAAACTGTGGTGATGTTGTCCGTACCGTTGTCCAGTGCTTCTTGAGTTTTAGTTTCATCTTGGCGACCAGCAAATGATGATCGGATGCTATATCAGCTCCTCTCCTGGTTCTCACATCCTCCATCGTCCTCCTGAACTTTTTGTTGATGCAGATATGGTCGATTTGATTCTGTGTAGTGTGATCCGGTGAAATCCAAGTTGCTTTGTGTATGTTTTTGTGTGGAAATATGGTGCCACCTATGACCAGTTTATTGAAGGCACATAGGTTTGCAAATCTCTCACCATTTTCGTCCCTTTCTCCCAGTCCATGTTGACCCATGACGTCTTCGTATCCAGTGTTGTCCATTCCAACCTTAGCATTGAAATCTCCCATCAGAATTGTCAGGTCTTTGGTTGGGCACTTCTCGACGATCGACTGCAGCCTATCGTAGAATTGGTCTTTAGCGTCTTCATCGTAGTCATTGGTAGGCGCATAGCATTGGATGACGTTCATTGTAATGCCCTCTCTCCTTGTTCTGAAGGAAGCTTTGATGATCCTTGGTCCATGAGATTCCCATCCTATAAGTGCATTTTGTGCTTTTCTGGACAGCATCAATGCAATTGCTTGTGTATGTGGGGCATTTTCTTCTTCATGACCGGAGTATAACAGAAGTTCTCCTGAAGACAGTCGTTGTTGTCCAACCTGCGTCCAATGTGTTTCGCTGATTCCAAGAACCTCCAGGTTGTATTTTCTCATTTCTGCAGCAATTTGGAAGACTCTTTCGGTCTCCCACATAGTTCGGACATTCCATGTACCTATAAAAATTTTCGCTCTGGTTGTAAGAAGGTGCATCGGCCTCATGACTTCCGAAGGAACTCGGCTTTCATCATGCGACATCATAATTATTCCTTCTACTCCCAGGGCAGAGTTTGAATGGTTTGAATGATTTTTTCTGGTTAGCGTTTTTTTAGCGAGTTGATTTTCTACGGGATGGGGTCGCTAACCGCATGCCCAACCCTCCTCTTTTACCCGGGCTTGGGACCGGCAGTAACCCCCAGAGGAGCTGCAGGCGGTACACCAAGGATCTTGCTATTAACACTTCTGGTAGCTACACTGCTGAGATACCAAGCATAGTACCAGTACTTGTGACCGAGGTTGCCGGTTCTCAATTAATTCGTAGCTTAGGACCTAGTAATCTTATAGTACGCTATGATTTAAAAAATGCACCAGACTACAATACCAGGAGCTGTTTAAGGGTTCCGCCTATTATGATCACTTCACAAAGCACTCAAATGCTTTAACGACGAAGTGTTCGGGACTCCATATCTAACTTGCGTAAAACATAATCTCGAATACTTTGTCCAAGCGGCTAGTCCGTATTGAATTAGAGATGTAGATATCCTACGTGCTCAAAGAGTAGGTACTAAGTTAGTGATAGGACTTTCCAATCCACAACAAGCGACTAAAATGTTTAAAACTTTCCCGGTTACCTCACTGTTGAATGCAAGGTGTTATTATATAGGCATTACGTCTCTTAAATAATAATTTAGCTATTAAGACCTCTTTTTTGGATCCCTCTAGGATTAAACATCCCCGAAGTCATTTGCAAAAGATCTGGAATAATAAGTTTCATAGTTATCCAACCACTACCTTTTTGAACTTGTTTTCCATATTTAAGTTTAAAACCATGCGGAAAAGGTAGAGGATGAGTCAAGTGACCTTTTTATGTAATGTCGATGTTTCTATACATTTTCCACCAATAAATCTGAAATTATGGATAGCTGACTTATACTTATCAAATCAGAAGCCTATTGTTCACGCGAAAATATTCGTAATTTCTATGTAGTGAGTAATTTTTATTATCTTATTTTTATTTAAACACATAAATATTGGTACAATAAAGCACCAGATAAATATGCGCCGCACAAATCTCATTCGATTTTTGTGAGGGCTGTGATACTACCCAGGTGCCCAGACTGAAGCAGGTGGTTTTCTTAAGGGGCCACATCCGGAGCCTTTGACCTAAAGGTCTAGTCCACAAGGCAGTGGAGCATCGTAAGGAGATGTAGTCCCATGGTAGCCGGTGATCAACAGTTGGTTCGTCCGCCATTCGTTCCTTCAGGATACTGGAGCCCATGTGCACCATTGGTTTGGAATCAGAGTTTGCCAACTCCCCTAGGTGGATCCTCCACATCCACCAACCCGGTTAAAGCGCCGGACAATCGCTTTTCGTCCTCTCACTTTTGTAAACAACACCGCCGCCACGAGAAGGCAGTGAGTAGGACTTCCCTGGCAGAGGCTATATATTCGCTGGCCATATGAGAGCATTTCGAGAGGGAGAGCAAACTCTCCCCACTCTCGGCCGTACCAGGGCATTTGGGGGCCTAGATAGCGAAATTGTAACCATAATTGTATACAATAACACAGTTACCCTAAAATTTACGAATGTTGTAGCATGTTACGGTTGACCATGAAAGAACTATTGCGTTCTTATCATCTTCACTTATGTATCAACGGTCGTAAGCATTTAAATATTTTCGTATTATATTAACAATCTAATTGTCTAAATTTTTGGATCTATATGAAGTAAACCAATTATATACCGAGTGTCCTCAAGAAATACTTTTACACTCAAATTGGAAAAAGCTACTAAATGGGATCTCCAGCAGATTTAATCACATACAGTCCCGCTGCTGCACAGCATAACCTTGCTTTGATTAACTACTGCCGCATATCTATCGCGGCACTTTCTGGATGTACAGCCGGGATATTAGGTTTGACAGGTAAGAATATTGTTAATACCTTAATGCAATCTCCAGGAATCATGGGATTTATGTTTTATTTTCTGGCACATGGTTTCCTATCATTGTTACTGCTACAAAAGGCAGGAAAATTATGGAACAAATACTTTATTCAGCGTTCGTGTTTAACGTATGGAGGGGTTTTCGGAGAACTAACTACTTATATTTTATTTTGGACTTTTATCTATGGCATGGTTCATGTATATTGAACATGATCTAAATGTATTTACCTATTTTGATTAACCACAAATCTGTTTTGAGTATATACGTCGAATAGTGCCTACGCATAATTCATACGTTGATGTTACTAATACACGCTCCTGCAATACATTTTAAGGTACATTTGTATTGCGTAAATTAGTGAAATCACTACATGAGCCAAAAATAGGTGGAGATTTAAGTTTGTAACCTGATAGTTGTAATCTGAATAATTAAACCGTCAGTTCACAGCTACTCGTATTTGCGGTCCTCTCAAGCACCGCTTGCATCTGATAAAATCATTGATTAAGCGACTTTAGGAATAGTCAAACGCTCTTCATAAAAGCATATAGGTACATATTTCGAACCATTAACCTTGAAGTTTATGCTTTAGAAGATAACAGACCATAGAAGGACTTCATTATGTAGAATATTCTAACCTACCTAAAGAAGCTCATTAAATAGAACATATGTTGATGTAAATTGTGTTCAGAGGGACAGATACAGACTAAATGGGTGATTGATTTTGAATTTCATTAACATTGACCAGTGTACAGTTACGTTAGGTCTCCATTTGTATGTTGACCTCACTCTCAAACTGAGGGCTAAAACATTGCCAAAGGTCTCGATACTGAGACACGTAAGAAAGTTGTAGTAAGGTAAATAGAAATTTTCGGCTATCATCAACGCACAATCGCTAAGAACAAGACACTTTTAGTGTAATCGGTACATAAAATGTACGTGCTTTATTGCTACACTGAGACCCTCATTGGATTAGCAATGTGTTGTGAGGGAAAAGAAGAGCAAATATTTTGAGGATCGGGCTTGCCTCGTGATACAAGAATTATATTCACGGGAAGACAAATTTCACTAAGATTATTAGTATGATGTTAGTCTTCTTGGATGAAAATTCAGTTATTTGTTCCACAAGGCATCTTCACTAGGTTGTTCAGGCTCCTCAAAAAGGAGTATGCTTCCACTGTGTGCAAAGTCTTGGTGTCCATTGCCCAGATAAATCCAGGATTATTTAAGTTGTAGTGAAAGATTGATACCGAGTTACCGATTCACAGCGAAGTTACAAATGGCTGTAAGTGGAATGAAGAGAAGCAGCAGCTAGGACGAATGAGATCATTGGAGTGGTCCCAATGCCCTGGTACGACAGAGAGAGTCAGCTCTCCCTCTGGAAGTGGTCTCACATCGCCACGCGTATACAGCCGCTGTCAGGGAAGTCCTACTCACTGTCTTCTCGCAGCGGGTGTGTTTACAAAATTGAGAGAGCAAAAAGCGAATGTCCGGCGTTATAACCAGGTTGGTGGATATGGAGAATCCACCTAGGGGAGTTTGATAACCCTGATCCTAAACCATTGGTGCACATAGGGCTCCAATATCCTAAGGGAACAAATGGAATATAAACCTCTTAATGGTCATTGGTTACCATGGAACTGCATCTCCTAACGTTGCTTTACTGCCTTGTGGATTAGACCTCTAGATCAAAGGCCCGGGAGTGGCCCCCTAAAACACCACCCGCTTCGGTTTGGGCACCCAGGAAGTCTTTTAGGCCTTACATAAATCGAATGATGAAGTGTGGCGCATATATATATTGATGCCCCCTTGTGCCAATGTTTATGCGTCTACATAAATACCACCAAAGAAGAGTAGACCCAACTGATGTGAACGTTGAGATGCTAGATTTTGTAATCGTCTGGTGCTTAACTAGGATGCAGAAACAGTTGACCCAATAAAGCTAAACACGTAACCATGATCATAAGTGCATTGATTAAACCTTTATGCATCAGATCGTGAGACAGACCTGGTCCGGCTCGACTGTAATTATATTCATGTATCCGGAGTCGTTTAAATTCATTAATCGCGAGACATTGAAAGAGGTACCGGTCACATACATCATTTCTACTGAAGGCTATTTATTTGGACAATTGTAGTCAGATTAGATTTTGTACTCAACTACATCGCCAGGTACCAAAACTTTCCCTTTTTGTGGAAAATATTGTCATGGATATACTTCTAAAGGTAACACGTTTTTCGCCTAACTTTCGAGTATTTGATCTCTTCTTGGAATCCACTCATAATAGACAGTAATCTTTTGGCAAACTAAGGTTTTATAAACACCTGAGTATTAGTACATGAATATTTTCGATTTCAGGTGTTTAGAAATAGTCGGGAGGAACCCCTGTTTTAGATGCTTTTTCACTATCCAGGAGGGGATTTTCGCTCCCGCATCACCGTCCATAATCAGCAAGATGGTCAAAAAAGCTGGAAACGTCAATGGATTTTAGAACTTTTACTAAACATGGTGACTTTAAAACTGGCAATGTGGTAACTTGGACTGACACACATTTGTACAAATTCACAGGTTTTATTTGCTGAAACAATTGCTAGTCTGGCACAAGACTTGAAAGACCTGGGTTACTTTTATACAAGGGAAACGACTGTCATTCAGAGGGGGTTAGAACGTAAGTTTCATAAGCTTACTTCTTCCTATCAATAATTGTAAGTCCGATTAACAAATCCATCTGCGTATGTCAAGATCATCCCCGAACTAAGATATAACACGAAATTATTTTTAAATTTAAGTATGATACTATGGAAATAGCAAACACTTAAATATGATTTTGTACAGGAGAGGAAAATGAAAGTAAAGAACCTAGGATTTGGCACAAATGGATACTGATTTCAAGTTGCATGATATTACATAAGCACCACAACAATTTAAAAACAGCGCTTAGGACAATGAAAGAGTGATGATAATAATACTAACAACGAACTGAAAGGATGAGTACGTTAAAAAAGAGGTTAGTGAAAATCAAAATCATAATATTGATAGAAAGACTCAAACCATAATATACATGTTTACTTATGGAAAGAAAACTCATTGAGCACAAAGTTAGGTACAGAAACTAATGAGTTAATTATCGTCATCTTCAGAACTATTCGATTCGTCATCTGTCACAGGTTCAGGTATTGGGAAGCGCAATATTGCGGCTACACCTGATAGTTGGTTGAGCTCTACAAATTTTTATATCATCAAATTTAAAAAAGTAAAGTAAGACTCGGTTATGGCGTTAATTAATGATGAAAAGTGGTTTAATTACTAAATTGAATATTAGATACACGGAAAATGATAACTAGCGACACACAACAATTGAACAGAAACAGCTATTATCACTTAAGAAGATAATGTTCCGGTGTTTTTATAGATAGATTCAGAAAAAGCGTTTTCCTGGTAGTTTTGCTTGCTTATATTTGGATTGTTATGAATACAAGGAAGATTGATATAGACAATATATCTGTCTTCCTATTAAACGTAAGTATACTGCACAGAAGATTGTTGTGTATTATCTTACGATTGTCAGAAGTGATCTTTGAAGGTAGAAAGCATGCCGTAGTTTGCTATTATTAGATCATGAATGTTTTCCAAGCATTGTTCGCATATGGTGGAGTCACGGAATGATTAATGCTACGGTTGAAGGAAGATTACAACATAGGTAGCAGTTAATAGGTTGGAAACTGTTCAGAGCTTCACCAAGTAAGGTGATTGGGATATTTTATGCATGATCAACTACAGACATGATTTAACTCTAGCATGAATAGTATGATTATTACTATTATAGTAGGTAAGAATATGTAACGATAGAAAAAAACTCACGTTCACCAGAAACATGTAGGCTAGAAAATATGCGTACAATGCCTTGATTGTCTTTAACTTGGTCAACTAACTCCACATATTGTTTCCTTTCATTTAAATTACGTGAACGGAATAATGCATCAGTTATCAGTAGTGTATCAATAGCGCATGCGTCAGCAGCTGTTTTAACATGTTTATAACTGTGTTTAGGTTTGAATTAGATAAATAAAATGCACAAAAAAGATTAAATGAATCAACTGAGAAAAAGAAATGTAACATAGTTACTACTACGAATACTATTTGTCCAACGGAGCAAGGTATCAACAAGTTCTTGAGGGTACTTTTTGGAGATTTAAGAAAAAATATACTTTAGAGACCGTTTTCGTTGTCAACTGACATGAGCTATCACTTTCGAGATAGCTAACCAAGGTTACAGACTCCCAATAGGGTTAATCTCGATAGTTAGTCACCGATGGGCAAACGATTACTGGTTATTAACCTAGTTGCCCTGTATTTCCTGAATATCATGGGTACTCGAAAGGAAACCCAGAACCTACAGCTTCTACTGGTTGGCACCTCACACGTGGTCTTTAAGTACGGTCGCTCGCCGTGAGATTTTAACCTATTACACAACTTCACAATCTGATACATTACTACCGAACTATTCAGACCACGATTGGCCTTCCCTAGAACAGATATATTGCTTGACCATCGAGTGGTGGCCAATGTCAAGTTTTTCTAGGTCTTAAAGCTCATTCAATTCTATCGACGAGGTTACCATGAAATGATGGTTGCGCAAAGCATAAATACATTCACTTAATTAAAAAATATGGATTATTGAATTTCAGGTGTCATTTAAATGTGCGTGCTCTCTATTAGACTTGAGGGTCCTGTTGTAGTGAACGGGAACACCAGCGGGGACAACTTAATGTATTTCAACACAACGTTACAGAATTTCTTAGTAAAATCTGAGAACCATACAGTAAATAATTAATTTGCAAAATATCCATCAATTGTCTCAGACTTTGTTGTTCCTTCGTTTTCATACCAATTGCTCTCTGCTCTTGTTCTCTTCGATATTCTCAACCTTCTACCTCCAGGCATTCAACTTTCCATTGGTGATACTTATTACTTATATCTGTCGACACCAGTAGCACACACCACACTGTGACTAAATCCTGTATGGATATGCATTACTGAGTAGTTCCACACTAGCATGAAACAGCTGTGATGTGCTCAGTGATTCTGAATGGTTTACTAAGTGATGACAGTTTATGGTAATAGGAATAATCAGACGATAATTGAAGTAGTCAGACTAAAAACTTTGGCTGTGTTTTGTTATTCTTGACTATTCGACTTACTGATTGAAGTAATATGAATTTGTTATGAAATGGGCATTATTGCATGGTTATCTCGGTAATGTTATTGATCCCATTGTGATGGATAATATTGTCAAGTTTTAGTATGACTAGAGCATGACTAAATTTCTTTTGTTATATCCAGGACTTATACTGTCAGAGTGTTTAACTGGCTTGTGCTTGATATGCCGATATCCCAAATCCGATGATGTTTAGTGAAAAACAGACTGGTGCTAAGGATTTTTTCGACCCCAGAAATAAATCAAACTGGTATATGTATACACTACATTACATATGATTTATTTCAGCCGGATTAAGTCAAAGTTGTATAATTTGACTGAGCAGTATTCCACACCAGTCAATCATCATATTTGCAATATCATACCAATCGACTTTCACGGACTTGATTTCACCCTTTTGACACTGCAATGTCACATGTAACTAGTGCATTACTAGATAACATAGTTACTGTAAGCTGTTTTTCATGGTGTTGAATTTGCTTACAGAGATATAGGTGTGCTAATAATTTTAAATATTGAGATTAAATTACAGACAGTAACTTCCTCAATTTGTGACTTGATTAGTTAAAGATAAGTATTATTTCATATAACCATGTACAATTCTGATCTACAATAGAATATCGATGTATTAATTTCAAGTGGAAGGGAATTTCTTTATGATATTAACATGAAATAGATGTCCGACAAAATATAAGCAGGATGTCAACTAGCGTTGATATAATGCACTCACCAAGCACAAGTTTATTTACTCAGAGTAGAGTTAAACTTTACTGATGTGAATGCTGGTAATACTACTCAGCTGTATAGATCAGCTCTATTTTAAAGCGACGTTCAAACTTGAGACCTAAGGAAATCAAGTGGTTTAATCCCTAATATCACAAGTTATGCTAACTGTGAATTTTCAAGACGACAAATGATATTCCTGTGCCAAAACAATTTATGAAACACAACGACTCGATTACTATGAGGAATTTAAAGTGTATACATGTCAGAATCTTTCGGACACCTACTGAAACACTTCCAAATATGGTTATACGGGGTAAAGGACAGATTTGTACTGGGGTTATCTTGTGTTATCTACAATCGACTGACTGGCTGATAATTTTAAACACTACAAATAAAAGGGGGTGTTGTATTATTACTAATTTATAGGATGAATAAATAGGGTTTAGAAAATGTTTATACAATTCAGCATACCCATAGAATGCACGTGATTGATCTGTTTTAAGCATTTGATAAAAGTCATTTAATGCAGTCACTTCAGATGTTGCTTTTGTATTAACCAGTTTACTCATAACAACACTATCTGTGAGTACTTCTTTCAATGCATGTTTATGACCGGATGAAGAATGAACAAGCATAAATTTTGATTTATTTTCTAAGAATACACGTTTTTCCTGTCTTGTCGCTGTCTGAATCATAAATTCAAAGAATTGTTCCCGTAGAAATCCAGGACTGGCTAATATGATACATTTGACGACTAAATTAAATTTGAAAAAGAAGTGAAATTAAAGGTTTTGAAAAAAACTAAGAAATGGTACCAATCTGTGAAATTACTGACTGTCGATATTAGTCATGTAGGAAGGTGCAGATCATCTAGTACATATTCTACGTAGTTTTCACAGTATATTTCTAATGTAATGAATATTCTTCCTCTTTCTTTTGCTTTTTACTTTATTAATTTGTCCTAAGACTCACACAAACTAAAACTGATTAACTGACTAGATTTATTTAGTACTAACTCATTAAATGATAATTTAAAAAAGCAGCGAGAAAAAAAGTGACGGCATTAGAAACAAATGTTGTCTTTTTCTTTATATCGTTTTGAAACTAAATCTATTTAAAATTTGGGATGAACTGTACAACAACCATTCGATCGCTTTGAGATAACACCAATCTAAAAAAATACACTACTAAGTATTAAGTTAATTAACCATTTATGATTCTTCATATTGAGAGAGTAAAATTATTGGTGAGGATTAGAATATCACACAAGTTAACATCTGGTGATAAGTTCTGTGTGTATATTCTGTAGGAGGGGAGTAGTTGTAGTTCAAATAGGAAAGTTATGGTATCAAAGGATTTAATAAATTTATATAACTCATTCACCAGGTATCGGTCCTGGTGTATCAAGCTTTGACCTACATTTCATATGTAAAAGTTAATGATAGTGCTTAGGTGCCTGAATTGAAGTTGATTTGGCCGAGTTCTAGTAAAGAAACTAGTGTTTACGCTTAAACTGATTCAGCCACTACGAAATCATCCCACTAATATCTATAACTGAGGCAACAAACAATATGGTTTCAAAATCTTTGAACAGAAACAAATGCAAAAAGGTATATAACACAAAAGTAAATGTATTGTAATGCGAAAGCTTACTGTCGAAACGAATGTGACGTTCTAGTGCTTGCATTATTTGTTCAAAAAAGCGGGACAGACCCTTTTCATGCTGAGCAGTAGGTAAACCTGGACGTTTACGTGGAATTGTAGTATCAATCTTCGCACGAACAATAGTTGTTGTACTTGTTATCAAACAAACATAAGCCAGACCTTCATGCATGATAACTGCAGCAAGATCAGCATGTTGTGTTGGATCAGATGCCTGTTCGACAAGCATAATTGCAACGCTATCCCATTCTGTTTTAGTGATAGTAAACTTTTCATCGATTCTTAGGTCTAATGTGTGATAGGCGCCCATTTTAACAAACTGATTTTCTACCACATTGCGCCCTTTCAAGTGAAGTACTGAACCCTATTTAAGAGAAAATACTTCCAATATGAATTACCGACATTGTGTAAATGATAAAAGACAAACATCGAAAACAACCAGAAGACACGCTTAAGATGTGAACGCAAGAAGTGTATTAGTTTTGTAGAGATAATATGTATTTTGGTGGCAAAAAGCAAACCTTACACTTTTTGGAACGGATCGTCAACCAATTCCATGAGATTCGAAGATTCTACCTATATTTACCAAGTTTACTAACCACTACATTACTAGTGATTACTAAATGGTCCCACTTTATGAAAGCAACGTGTTAAATATAACTGTGATCGAATATCTCGGACGAACGAATATTATGTTTTAGCCGTCATAGACTCGGCAATGATGGCGAAGTCCTGTTCGATATGTAAAGCAGAATAGAGGTTTAACCCAGATAATTCAGAATATTTTGAATTTTCCAATGTAATCAGCTAATCGACTGTTCGGATGAGTTCAAATAGTGGTACGCTCTTCTTGTCATACAAAGCCGAAATTCCATTTTGGTCCCAATAGCTTATTTGTTGTCAAGAGCCATACTCGGCGCGCTATTTAAAAAGGACAGTGGTATTTTTCCTCGTTGAGTAAATTCTATTGTTTTGATCGTTATTAACGTATCAAGACTACTGTTTTTATACTTTGATTGAATTTCTTTCAGTTAAAGTATTCTATTAGAGTATCATCTTTGGTATCCTAAATAGTTTTATCGTCGGTACTCCAGAGTACCTTTTTTTTCCATTGTGTCTGTTAGTACTTTGGTCCTAACTGTTTATAGTTTTTTTTTCTACTTATAGTCAACACTCACTTTCGCATCCTAAAATGACTGGAAGATGCAACAAAAGCATTTGCCACCGCCCAGGATGTCGATATCCTGTTGATAGCGGCATGCAGTGCGATGAGTGCAAAGGTTGGTACCACGATGTTTGCACGAATCTAACACCTGCAGCTTTCAAGCGGTTTAGTAAAAATGGGTGTGTATGGCTATATCAACAGTGCTGTTTGGATGCAAATAGCCTGCTAACCGAGGCCATTTCAATAGTAAATGCCGCAAAAAAGTATCTCGGCAAGCGCGGTCGGGATACATCAGTCAGAACTCAATCTGTCGACACGCAGATTGACACAAGGCAGGCCCAAGTGAGTCCAAAAACTGCCGACCCACACCCTACTAAGGAGGAAGAACATCCTCCAAAGAGGACTGTTGCAACCAGAAACTCGAGAAAAAAGTCTCTTCTGTACCTCGTATCAAAAATGGTACCCAGAAGGGAACTTCCGGAAGCCGAAACCGCAAGGCTCGATCGGTTTCCAGCGCGAAAGATGACCTGATCCCCCAAGTCGTCCTGACTCTTCCGGAATCCCACAGTACGCCTGACGCGAATGTGGTTACCACTCCAAAGAACGTTGGCGATTGGGTACGGGTCGTAAGAAAAAAACGCCAAAATGACGTAAAAGGAAATCATACCCCCACCAAAAGGGTCGACAAGCCGAGGTCTGATCACAGCGACAGATCAGTCATTCTCCATAGAGTCAAGGAGAGTGACAACTTAGAACCGAAAGCTCGTTTTGAGCATGACATTGTGTTGATAAAACAACTACTCAACCAAGTTATGCCCAAAAACATCCCCGGAGTCACCTTGCTAAAGGTGTATAGACTAGGAAATCTAGCGCATCTGAAACCAAATCAGTCTAGACTACTCAAATTCGTTTTCAAATCCTCAAACGAACGCGACTTAATCTTAGAAAATGGACACAAATTAAAGGGTTCGGGAGTTTTTCTCCGTAAGGACTTACCGTTGGCGGACCGTGTTAAAAGACGGGAAGCCGAAAAGGAACTACAGCTCAGATTAGACGCTGGCGAAAAAGACCTGAAAATTGTAAATTTTCGGGTTGTGAGGCTTCGACAGAGGATGATGCCGAAGCCACTCTGGGTGAAGCACGAGGCCACCTAAATAGGCTTCGGATCTGTTATACCAACGCCCGGAGCTTACTAAATAAGCTACCGGAACTAGGTGTACAGATTGACTCAACTAGGCCAGACATAATCGCAGTCACAGAAACATGGCTGACGCCGTCTATAGATAGTAGGGAACTTGATTTCGAGGGTTTTACATTGGTAAGGGCCGATAGAATACAAACGCGTAAAGGAGGGGGAGTAGCTCTATTCATTAGGAATGCTATTCCATTCACCATTATCGACAGTGTATCCCATGAGAGTGGGACGTACGAATTAGTTTGCTGCCGCCTGAAATGCAGGGGACAAGAGTTGCTACTTAGTTTGATCTATCGCAGTCCAAGCTGTGAGGCAAACGAGGTCCTGCTAAGCAGTCTCAACACTTTATCACGAAGTGATCGATGTCTAATCCTAGGGGACTTTAATGCACCCATGATGGACTGGGGAAATCTGCGGACTGAATCGTTAGCAAACTCCTTCGAACAGGAACTAGTTGATGCGATAATCACATGTGCTCTAGTGCAACACGTGAAGGAAGCAACTAGGTACGACCCGGGTTCTGCATCATCCTTACTAGATCTTATATTGACTCATTATGAGGATGATGTTGCAAACCTGGATTACATGCCACCCCTAGGCAAAAGTGATCATGCAGTTTTAAGTTTTGACTTCCATATAACTGTCGATCACGAGTACGCTTCAGCTCAATCCAGACCTAACGTCTGGAAAGCAAACATAGCAGACATCATGCACTCAGCATCATTAGTAGATTGGAAATTAGATCCAGAGTCATCAATCGAAACGGCTTGGGACGTATTCCGGAATTTATACTTAAAAGTTACCACCCCCCACATCCCTTGGACTACACCTAAGAGACCGAGAAACTCCCCACCGTGGTTCAGTAGGGAGGTTCGCATCCTTCTCCGTAAAAGAAGGAAAATGTGGGACAGATTTAGGTTACTGGGGACTGACGAGGCGAAATCTCAGTATCAAAAGGCTCGAAATACCTGTGCCTCGACCCTCCGTAAGGCCAGAAAGCTGTACGAAGAGAAAATCGTTAGGGAATCCATAGAATGCCCTAAACGCTTGTATTCGTATATAAACCAAAGGACAAAAAGAAGAAGAAATGTTCCTTCACTATGGGGAGACAGTACTGCCACATCACTAGTGGAGGATGACTTTGGCAAAGCTCAAGTATTCTCTAAATACTTTAGCGATGTATACACCATAGAAACACCCTTCTCACCAGTCAATGAAAATCCACCCACACAAGCACTGGACAGCGTAACCATTAAAGAACTCGATGTCTTTGGTCTGCTAGTTAAGCTTGACATAGGTAAATCCACTGGACCCGATGAACTGCATCCTAGGTTATTAAAGGAATTAGCTAACTTTGTTGCGAACCCTTTAAGTGTATGTTTTAATCTATCCGTAACCCAGGGTCGTCTACCAAAAGACTGGAAGAATGCCATAGTAAGTCCAGTCTTCAAAACAGGTTCAAAACATAAGCCTGAGAATTACCGACCAATTAGCCTAACTAGTGTGGTTGTTAAAATCTTAGAAAAGATTATTCGGAAGGAACTGTTAAAGTATCTCGATGAAAACCGGATCCTCTCCGAAAAGCAGCATGGTTTTAGAACAGGTTACTCTTGTCTCACAAACTTATTAGTCGCTCGTGAAAGCTGGTGCGCTCTTAAGGACCAAAAATTACTTATAGACGTAGCTTACATAGATTTCAGCAAAGCTTTCGACAAAGTTCCGCATAACCGGCTGTTATATAAGCTAAGGAATGTCGGGATTGGAGGCAATCTATTGATGTGTATAAAAGACTTCCTAGTTGGGCGTCAACAAAGAGTAAGGGTGAACTCCAAGTTGTCTAGCTGGGAAACTGTGCTTAGTGAAGTCCCCCAGGGTACAGTTTTGGGGCCAGTGTTATTCCTCCTGTACGTAAATGATCTCCCTCGTCTACTATCGTCATCGGTCTTACTCTATGCTGATGATGTCAAGATATGGAGAGCGATACAAAGCAAGGGCGATAGCTTAGAACTTCAAAATGACCTGAAGAGATTATCTGAATGGTCCCAAACCTGGCAATTGCCGATAAACACTTCCAAGTGTATTGTGATGCATATTGGCCTTCAGGGTACAGATACATACACGATGAATAACACTGAGTTACCTATTGTTCAGGCACACAATGACTTAGGCGTCATCGTCAGTCAAGACTTAAAGACTACTGCACACTGCCGTGCAATAGCCGCCAAAGGTTTTAGGACTTTATGGTCCATACGCAGGGCTTTTAGGCATCTTGACGCTAAAACGTTTCTGACTTTGTATACAGTGTTCGTACGCCCTAAACTTGAGTACTGTATACAAGCAGCTAACCCCTGCCTAAAAAAAGACAGTGAACTCTTGGAAAGAGTTCAGAGAACAGCAACTAGGCTGATTCCCGGAATAGCGAAGCTCCCGTATGGTACTAGACTGACCAAGCTAAACCTATTCCCGCTGTCATATAGAAGAATCAGAGGTGACTTGATTATAGTTTTCAAATTGCTAAATGACAAATTTGCACCTGATATGCCCTCATTTTTCTTGTCTTCCAAAACAGAAAATCTACGAGGACACTCCAAAAAAGTTCACAAGCCTCGAACGAATTACTTGTCAGCTGACTACCGACTTTCCCATCGAATAATCAACGAGTGGAATTCATTACCTCAGCACGTGGTTGAGGCTCCATCCGTCGACTCCTTCAAAAGAAAGTTGGATCAGCTGAGAGACCATCACTGCCAGGACTAACACAGGCCATCAAGCCTCCTGTCCTTTCCAAACTGAAACTGAAACTGAAAATTTGGAAACCACTCGTCAAACAAATCTACTTAGCACTGTTCTAAACCCTTCACAGTATTTCGGTTAAAGTTCAGAAACAAAGCCACATAAGCCATTTATTTTAAGATTCTACTGTCACGAATATGGCTACTAAAGTTTATAGACAGTGGATTCAACACGTAATATTAGCTGCTCCAAAGAAAAAAAAAGGTTTCAAGACAACTCCATTGTTGAAGCTCCCAGTCAAACATATCAATCTTAATACAATAATATTCTTCAGGACCTTTCACTCAAAAGTTTTCACACTATTAGACAACCCTTGGAATTCACATTTCGAGTACCTTAAATTTAGACTTTACTGATAAAAATAATCAACGGAGACTTGATAAAACTATGACAAGGAACCCTCGTGATACTCACCTGTAAATCGAAGTCGATTTTTTCTACTTCTATTGTTAGGTTGGTTCTTACTTGCTTCGTCTGCACACTACCAGTTGCAGATTCATTCTGGACCTTTCTGACCGTGGAACATCTCAATTTATCTCCGATTTGGACTAAGTTGTACGTTAACCACATGTCCTCCTCATTTTCAGCAATTAGCGTAATATATCCAGATGAATTTTTATTCAGCTCCCTGCCAATAACCTTCATCGTAGGCTACCAAGACAACTTTACAGCAACGCTGACCTGACCTTGAAAGCATAAACTGTGCGCTCCTTTTTGTCTACAGTTAAGGATGGTAAGCCGATGAACCTGCGTTAATCCTTTCAGCTAGTTTTGCTGTGGTAGTCCATACATGCTCTCAAAGTAACTGATACCACTTGTACAGACATGAATTCTTAGTCACTGGTCACTCAATGCGAAAAACAATCTCATTCTCCGTTTCATAACCAAATCAAAAAGCGAAATAAAAGAGAACACGAAAAATACAAATGAGACATTAATTACTAATTTTTGTGAGAATAAAAGGTGAACTAACCAAGATGTTGACTTTGTCGCCTTGAAGTGGCTGTGAGATTTTTCTCATCAATGTATCTGTAAAAAGGAAATATCTCAGAATTTAATCTAAATTGTCTATTCTTGACACAGATGTATGTTATTTTGTTTATTTTTTATTCCAATTGCAAAATTTTTAGCACAAACAAATTAATCAACTTTCTGCCTTTCGTTTCTCAATGAAACAAGTTTTTCTACACACAATGGAATGCATTTCGAAGTATGAAACATGTGTTGAAAATGTCCATTCACAAAAATTTTTTAAAGATTTACGACAGTACTGAAAATAGATTGGTACATTCTGTAAATCACAAATTATGTTGTCAGCGTAAACCTGAAAAAAAGAAAACTCATAATAACGTGGTTTATGAGGCAAATTACTAAAAGAAAATGTTATTGTACTACCGCCGAAATAAAAATTTGTACACGCTTTTTCCAAATCTGTCCAATTCCACTTCAAGCGATTCACTTTATTTCAAAAGGTGATGTAGTTACAGAAATGCTTTTGAAAATCTCTGATAACAACATAATTAATGACCAGACCTTGGAATTATACCACTTTTGTAATTATGATTCCTGAATGTTGTTGAAAGAAAAACCGGCCGTTGTAGTGAGATTGTACTTTAATGTGATAATTATCAGCATTTAACTACATTGAACGTGATTAGCAGTAATATTTGCCAAAACATTTCCGAGTTTTTATAGAAGGGAATCGAATGGTTCAAATGGTTGTGGACGGAAAAGAAGAAGCTTTCGCTTAATGGGATTCCGTGTCTAGTAGCAGTGGATTATCAATACGTCCAGGCAGGAACCTCGGTCGCTTGAACTAACTCAGTTGGCAGAGAATTCCAGCATTTGACAACTCCTATGGAGTAGGACTTTTTCTACAGTTATTTTGTAAAAGATATCAAGCACGTTTTCCTTCCTTCTGAGGTCATGTTTATTCACCATGTCCTTCGAGTTTGGGAAGCAAACGTGGATGGAAAAGCTACAATTTCGCAAAGTTCTTTTCCGTATGATCAGACTACAGATATCTTGTTGTCATTTGAAAATACTTAGAAAATCAGAAAATTTTTAGAAGCTTAGGACTTAAGTCAATCATCAACCAACAGCCCTATATGATTTGATCCAATCTACCAAACAATCAGAAAAATCATGGACAAATACAGGACCAAAAATCAGATCAAGTGGAGATATAGCCAAAATAAATAGGGAGATCAAGGTAAATTAAAGGCCTGTAACGGCAAACAAACCTCCAAAACGAATGGTTTGGTAGGTCTTCGACATTGACGTTCATCTCATTAGTTTTGATGGGCACATTCTAACTGAAGGCTTTTCGTTACACATTTGATTCGGATCATGAGTGGGTACGCCGTACTACGTATAACTCACAAAAATTAGATTAGACCAAACGCTCCTCCATATATCGACAGCTTTCCAAATATATCTTCCATCCCTCAATTCTGAATTCCGTTTTAACATGGTTGGTATTCTTCAGTTATGAATATGGTAAGTGTAAAGGCGTTTTCAAGCCACGGATACCTGTGGCATCTTCAGGTCAATACTAACCGATCAAAATTGATGTTGACAGGACAAAGTGTGAGTCATATACACTTAAATTCGAACAATTCACTTCTGGCTGAAGTTTGCGCTGATCATGTTGTGTAGAACGATGAAAGCTCCATGGACAAACCATCTAGCCTAGACAACAAAACTCCACCCAAATCACTCATCAAATCGATGAATCTCTCCCTCCATATCAAGTTTGCAGTTCAAGGAGGAGACTGTGTGGAAGTATTGCTCATCCAAAGTGGAGGAAGAAGCATTATCCGTCATCACTTCTAGTTGAGTCAATCAAGAATCGAAAATTGTCTGCAACGTTTCACCGTCAAACTATTCAGACATGTGCTTTGAAGTTACTAATATAAGATCTCTCTATTCTCAAAGCTAACATATATTTTAAATAACAGGGTGCCTAAACACCCAGAACTTGATACCTGGTAGCTCTTCTAGATAAGAGTTGCCTAGGTTGTTTATGCAGTTAGCGACATTTTATAAGCGAAATACTCCATGCTTTGAAGGACTGACGTCATCATTATCTTCACAACTTTGGGGTTGAATCACATCCTTGTTAAGTGCTAGCTTATTATCTCGGTTAAAAACTTCTCTTCAAAGTCTAAGATTAACAGAATCCAGCTGATGGGCATCATCTTTGTAAATTTAGAATAGCGAAAGTCCCAGTGAATTAAAGGACAACACTAGGAACTTTGGTGGTGATTAGTTGGGACTTTACTCCGACCGTGAAACGTTGATCATTCAGGTATCATTGAAGCTGTCAATCAACAATAAGTCCATTCTTTTCAGCCTAGGCTTGTAAAATTATGGCCTACTTCGTTACTTGTCGTGCTCTAAAATTAGACCTAATCCTAATTTGTAAATTTGTAATGATGTTATTACTCTGGAGATAAAACAGTATATTTAATATGAATAGAAGAGATAAGTGACACAAGAATGACCAAGCCTACAAGGCTGAGTCAGGACATCTGATCAACTGAATGGAATTAATGTCCCTGCGTTCTCTATGTTTGAACTTCTATTTGTGTCAATTGTCGAATATAAGTCTTTCCATTAATTATATGCTCAGCTGCAAAAGTAGTGTGGTTAGGATCCAGTGCCATTACGAGCTTACTGAAAAACACACGTATGACAAATGTTTAGCAGAAATCGAGGTATCTGATTTTCATGTTACTTTTTGATTGAAGATTGTGTCCTGTCCATCCGCTGTAGTTAGCAGATTCGTTGTACATGAATGGTCTTTCCTGGAACCGCGACGTTGGGGTCCCAACAAACCCCTGAGTACATGTAGACTCGATAACAATTATAAGTAAAAGACTATAAATGTAGAGCCCACTGAGTGTAGGGTCGTTGGCCAGTATTTTAAAGAACTGATGCACCAGCCTTTTATTTATTTATTTTGTTTATTTATTCACATATATATTAGTACAAAGGGCACCGGATACATATGCGACACACAAAATAATGAGAATGGGAGGAGAAGGAAGAAGACGCGTATATATATAAGAAGGAAAAAAAGAAATGGAGACGAGTAATGATGGGAGGAACGGAAATGTACAACCAGAAGACTATTTCAGTTAAGAAAGTTAGAACCGTTCTTTATGTAGAAAGTAAAAGAAGGTTGCAGCAGGATCGCCACTGGCTTCTATTCTGAGCCATATCTGATAACGTCTCTAGCCACTGTGTTGCACCATCTCTCGGACCCCAGCCAGGGAGTCGTGAAGGACCAACAGAAGCTAGCCCTTTGCAGCTTTCTTTCATGCCACGAACCAAATCATACACTGACCTCCTCTCCGCTTTTTCCAACCAGTCCCAGGGTCGGCAAATAATGCACGGCGTGGGAGCCTCATCACGACATTCGTACAACATGCCCAAGCCATCGAAGTCGATGTTTCAAGATGGTGACACCAATTGAATTATCGTCCCTGCGCCCGAACACACGATGCCAAACCTCTGCATTACTAACATGGTGTTGCCACTGTATGTCAGCAATCCTTCGATGATCGAACACAGAGAGTCGTCTAACATCCTCAACTCGGAGAGGCCAGGTTTCACAAGCATAGAGCAAAGCTGCTCTCACCGACGCGTTGTAGATCCGACCTTTTACAGCCAGACTAACATCACGAAGGCGCCAAAGATGGCCCAGATTGGCATAAGCCGCTCTGGCTTTCATTATACGTGCATCAATCTCATCAATCACGTCACCACCAGCGCTTATATAGCTGCCTAGATACATGAACTTCTCAACTACTTCAATCTGCTCACCATTCAGGGTGAGTACAGGATGAGAATCCTGCCAGTCTTGTAGGAGTACTTTGCACTTGGAGGGTGCAAAGCACATGCCGTACCTGCGGACACTGATTGCCAACTGATTAAGTGCTGATTGCATGCCTTGGGCATTATCGCACAGTAAGACAATATCATCCGCATACTCAAGGTCGAGAAGTCGTTCTCCAGGCAACATATCCACACCGCCATTACTTACATCCATCAGAGCTGTTTCTAGGATGTCGTCGATGGCAAAGTTGAAGAGGAATGGGGAGATCGGGCAACCCTGCCTAACCCCACTGCTCGAATGAAACAAGGAAGAAAGGTGGTTGTATGCCCTCACTCTGCCTGAGGTGTTCGTATACAGGGCCTTCAATATGTTACTGAACTTCTCAGGCACACCCTTCTTCAATAGACAATCCCAGAGAACAGTCCTGTCCAACGAATCGAAGGCAACCCTGATATCAAGAAACACTGCGATTATTGGCCTGCGATAAGTATGACGGTGTTCTAACATTTGGCGGAAGGTGAAGATGTGATCAATGCATCCTCGATCAGAACGGAAACCAGCCTGCTCCTCGCGAGTCAATCGTTCTCGAGCTTTAAACAACCTACGAAGAATGATAGAAGCCAATAGTTTGGACGCAATCGGAAGTAGACTTATCCCCCGATAGTTATTGCAGGAACAACGTGAACCCTCTTTAAATATAGGTACGACTATCAACTCATTCCATGATGTTGGAACACTTTCTTGCTCTCAAACCTTTGCAAACAACACAGTCAATTCCTTAGTCGGAAAGTCACCACCATCTTTAAAAAGAGCCGGAGGTAAGTCATCTGGGCCAGGTGATTTGTAACGTTTCAAGAGTTAGAGTTCTTTGCGGACTCTCGCCTCGTTTGGTGGATCAGTCGTCACCGGCCATGAGGGGCAGGATCGACGGGCTTCAATCAGTTGTA